TTTTTTTTTTTTTTTTTCATTGAAGCCCTCAAAATACTTTAAATTGGCTCTAAAAACAAAATACCAGGATCCTTAGCACCTTGTAGCTTATATTTTTTGACGATATATTTATCAATGACGTAAAATAGTTAATTCAGATGATGTGATATATTTGTATAACAATTTTTCAAGTTACTACCGTGATATAACACTGTTCAAAATATGATACTTTTAATTATTTATATTTACTTTACATGTACGTTTGGCATCTTGTTGAAGGTTAATCATTTTCATAATATCTCTATAAGTTTTCTACATAACATTCATAGTACATTTACAGGAGTGATAATAAATAATGAGTAAACTTTAGAGATTTTTTAAAAATTTAATCAATAAAAATAGTAACGATACAATAAACAAGATTATTAGTCCACAAAAGTGCTGATGTGACCTTTTTCTATTATTAATTTAGTGCGAGTGGCTATACTATAAATATAGCCGTATATAAATTGGTCACTAATATAAGCATATTTACGATTAACATATATGAAAAAAGCTGCACCGTCTGGATAACTGTGGCAATTGTCAGTGCTACTCAATGAAATTGTTATTATTTTTTCAGTAGTAACGGTGGTTCAGTGGTGTAGTTAAGTTTTCGTCAATCTCTAAAGTAAAGCACCATTTGGTGCGATTAGTACTTGGATGGGTAACTACTTCAGTCTCACTGTTTTGCCTGTGCTGTTTTTAAGGGTCGATTAATTGTTTCTTTTATGCTTTGTCCATGAAATTAAAATTGTTATTCAATAAGTGGTGTTATTCAAACGTGCCTACACTGGTTATGAGTTGGGATTGCACTGATGGCTGCAAAAACACTGTGCTTGTATAGGAAAAGCCATATCTGAGCCTAAGAACGATGATAAATACAAAAAATTGTTATTATTGTGCTATAATTTTTGGGATTGTTCCCATGTATTTAAATAAATCTGGTTTATTTCACCAACAACGAACTTTTTTATGTCCAAGCTCATTTCAGCGTGAATTAAGGATATGTCTGTCTCAAAACTTTTTTAACTATTCAAGAAATATTTTTTGCTAAAGGCCGAATGGCCGAGTTTTCATCATTAAGGAGCGTCTCACTTTTAGGGCATTCCATAGATAGTTAAATTTTCTACTAAATTGATCAAGTTGCTTTGGTAGTTTAGCTTTATAAATAATGTATTAAACAGGGAGCTATTTAACACAAAAAACTGAGGTTGTTTCATATTCTTAACACTTCAAAGAAATGGCTAAGCTTAAAAAAGGCAAGATGAACTCAGAATTTAGAGCGAAAAGTAATATGTCAGATGCTAGATTTATAAGGTGTTATTTAAATTCTTACTATTTTTCTCGATATATTTAAATTAGTTTCTTTAATATAAAGCCATGTTAATTTAATGTGGATTAAAAATGTGTCCACTCTTCAGTCTGGTAAAAAACATTTACGCACAAAAAAGTTCCGACTAATAAGAATTCTGAATTTTTCAGCACTTGCAAGCGCTGATCTCCCCGATTGTATCATATCGAATTATGTACTATAAGAGTTTTGACTTTGGGAGGGACTGACTTATATATTTTCCAAACTATAGTACTGTACTAGCTTGTCGTAACAAAAGAATCTAACAAGATTACTACAATTTTCTCAACCTTCGTAAAGTACAAAACGTTAGAATCAGAATGTCACATTCAATCGAATGCGTTTCTAATAGCATTATTAAAAAAAAAATAATAATTTTTTCGTATTCTAGTACCTCAACTTAAACACCATTGAAGTATTAGATAAAATGTTTGTTTTTTCTTAAAAATACTTGTAACTTTTGTTTCTGTTGCAATCATTTAGAATCCATAAAAAAATTTTAAAACTTTTTATTCTTCTTCAAGGTGTCGCTCGTCAAAACTGTAAATTTTCAAGGGAAACACAAGCCTCTAATACTTTTGCAGCCATTTTTTGTGACTAAAGGGCAGTCTTAAAATAGTAATTACTTCGTACGTTATCGATAGCAAAATTTTGATTGTGTTGCTTTATAGCATAATTTCTTTTTAAGTTAGATATTTTATTATAAAAATAAGACTAGACACGCACTTTTGACACTTATTAGTGTTAAAATATAAGTAAATTTACATTAATTATGTTAGTACGGACGTCTTTTATGCGTCATAAATACTATAAGTGCAAGATGATATATATATGCACTTTGTACAATTATACACGAAAGGCAAACAGAACATAGCCGTTAACGCCCACGCACGCTTTCGTAGAGTCTCTTGGTACAATGAGACAGAAGATC